CTCCTCCTCCTCCTCCTCCTCCCCCTCCTCCTCCTCCTCCTCCTCCTCCTCCTCCTCCTCCTCCTCCTCCTCCTCCTCCTCCTCCTCCTCCTCCTCCTCCTCCTCCCCCTCCCACTCCTCCTCCTCCTCCTCCTCCTCCTCCTCCTCCTCCTCCTCCTCCTCCTCCTCCTCCTCCTCCTCCTCGGCACGCGGCGTCCACGGGGCGCCCGCAGGGCGGGCACCAAGGCGACACCTCGGCAGGCCCCTCCAGCGCGCGGCGCCCGCGAGCGCCCGGGAGGCGACCGCAGGGCGGGCGCACCGGGCGGAGCCTCGGCATATCCCCCCCCCCAGCGCGAGGCGCCCACGAGGCGCCCCAGGGGCAGGCACCAATGCAGAGCCCTCGGAGCAGCCCACCGATGGTTCGAGAGGAAAAGGGGGGAGGGTAACCATACGAGTCGTAAGGATATTCAGGACAGCATCGATACCAACAATGCTCTTCATGGTAACGATCGTACGGCCTGCACTGCTCTTGGTACTCATCGTAAGCACACTAATCCTTCTACTACTATGGTCAATCAGTCAATCGAAAGAGTTGTGATACGAATGCGAAGAGCCAGAGCAAAAAGAACATCCACAATCTTAAGTGCAAGCGCTGGTTAGGGAATAATGACGAGATCATTTTCGTTTTAGGAACTTGCGGAGCTTGACTGATACGGGCAGCAAGAGAAGGGTTCAGACTTGCATATATCGTTAGGAATTCCTGACGCCTCGCGTTTTCCCGCCAGCCCATCTGGAAAAGTTGTTCAGGCGAGTTGCCTTGATCAGAGCAGTGTAGGAGCAAGCAGAATACCGAGATCAGCCTGAGCAAGGCCAGGAGTCAGCCATAGATGGTTTCGTGGATCTTTCGATGCGGGAGCTTCTCGGTATCTGTTTGAGGTCATCTCGTGGGGCCATTTGGGGACCTTCCTGGGGACCTTGGTGGGCCCTATTGGAGTCATTTCCGTGGACATCGATCGAGGGCATCGATCAAGTAAAAGGGGGGCGTAATAACCCTGCGCTCTCAGAGCCGAGCAAGTCACGCTTTTGGGCCCTCTTAGGAACGCTCTTGGAGCGCTCTTCGTGCTGCTGTGGAGTATTTTGGGGGCTGTCTTGAGCCATCTTGAACCCACTCTGGAGCCTCGAAAGCGAGGTGAGAAGGCAGCGGTTTGCTTGAGGCGTTGGAGGGATTTTGGCCTTGGGAAGCTCCGTAGGCACTGTGAGCCGTCTTGGGACAGTCTTGGGGCTTACTGGAAGCATAGTGAAGGGCGTGTTGGGTAATGGGCAAGCTTGCGCCATCGTGGAGGCGATTACCAGCTATCTGGAGCCATCTTGGAGCCATGGCTGCTCATCAGCCTCCCAAGAATGCCCAAGTGATGTCCAAATCTTTCAAAAGCAAATGCTGTTCAATGATTTTGGCGTTGGGCGAAGGGGTTCCTTAATCAGCCCCGCCCCTCCGGTGGCTTAAACAGTGCCTTCTGATGCCATCTTGGGGCGCCCTTCGGGCACTATTGGGGCCGCATCGGGGCCCCCTTGGGCCCTCCCTGGAGCTCTCTTATGTCATATTGGAGCCGTCTCGAGGTCTCGGAAGTGAAATGCAATACAGCTGGGGCCCTTAAGAAGGAACCCTTTTCGTTGGGGAGGGGCTCCGCGTTCCTTAAGTGTTTCACAGCTTGCCTTGGATTTTCCTTAGTTTTTCGCTACGAAATCGAAGTTCAACTTATGGAAAATAGGGGCCTCGTTCCTTATTTAAGGTTCCTTAGGTCAACGCCCCGACTGTAAAGCAACATCATTGGTTTCCCTACGGTTCGGGAAGGAGCGTCGCATTTCGGGAGTATTGGGGGAGCATCCCTGGGAGGCCCCGCAGCCACCCGGGGCAGGCTTGGAGCAGACTTTACGTCTCTTGGGCGCATCTTCGAAGCAATCTGGAGCAATCTCCTGATACATTGTACCATTTCGGAGGTCATCTCAGGCTCTCGATGGTCAAATCTTGAAAAAGAGATTTGACCATCTTGCGCGCTCCAACTGGCGCCCGCCCCCCTCCTCCCCCCTCCCGCGTCCAGGCCTAAGGGGAGGGGGGAAAGGGGGAGGAGAAAACCCGAAAACCCTTCTCCGAAGCGGGTTGGGAGCGGAAGCGCACTATGTCACCTCAGCCCAGAGGATTGGTGAGATTCCACTCGTTGTGCCAGGAACCTGCCACACGGTGTCTGAACCTCCTGCGCCTGCAAAGTGCCATATGTGCAAGCCTGCTTCAGCTTTTATATATATATATATATATATATAAACAAGAGGAGACTGTCAAATTGCTGGCCCACGTTCGCTTGCAGCCATATTGTTTTCTGGTGCGGGCGGAATTGAACATACGTGTTGTGATTCCCAGATGCCACCTTGGTGGCCCGTGGGTGGTGCCCTACGGTTGGTGTCATTTTCTATATGGTGCTTCAGTTGTCGCACTTTCTGGTGGCCGCCTTGGTGGCGCCCCATGGCTTGTGCCCAAGATGTCCCAAGTGTCTGGTGTCTCTGGTTGCTGCCCTGGTGCCCCGTGGGTGTGCCCTAAGGCCGACGCATGACGTTTCAATCGCATTGATTTCTTGTTGCAGCTTTGGCGTAATGTGGGTGGTGCCTGATGGCTGGCGCCCGATGATCCTTCAGCCGTCGCGATTTAGAGCTGCCGCCCTGGTATTGTGCCCAAGTTGCAACGGTTTGATGTAATCAGCCGCCATGGTTTTTGGGTGGTGCCGTATGTTTGGTTCACGGTAAGATGCCCCAGTTGTCGCCCTGGCTCAGTCCTTACAGTTGACACCTTGTGATACCTAAAGTGTCGTCACGGTTTGTGATTGCTGCGCTGCCCTGGTGTCTTTAGCTGGGGGCCTGTGACGCCCTGATTGTCGCAATTGTCTGGTGGCAACCCTGGTGCCCCATGGGGGGTGCCTTGTGGCTGGTGCCCTATGGCTTCCAAGGGTCCTATAATCTTAGTTGTTTCCCTGGTGCCCTGTGGGCAGTGCCGGATACTGTTCCGATGGTAGCGATTTCTAGTTGCCGGCCTGGTGGCCAGGTGCCGTATGGCCGTTGCCCCACCGCTGGTGCCTTATGGTTGGTGCCCTGTGATGCCCCAGGCGTCGCGACTCCTGATTACAGCGCCATTGCCGTGTGGGGCTGGGTCCTCGGGGGTCCGCTTGTCATTGATCTTGAGCGCGTTACCCCCGCCGCTCACGTATAGTATCGTGCGATACCGCGGACACCCCGCACGTCCATGATCACAAGAGATCGATGTCGCGGACCGGGATGTCTGTGGTCGAAGGCGCCAGTCCTCGGCTCGTGTGCAGATCCTCCACTGCGACTGGTCTCCTGCCCCCCTTGCACTGCGCGGCAGGTCTCGCAGCAGAGACGACTCGGGCCCGACCAGCTTCCGCCTCGACTCCAGTGGCCAGAGGAGGGGCCCGCGCGCGCTCAGTCTCGCCATGCTCTTGCTTCGGACGGCGGAGTCGTCGAGAGCGGCGCTGCCCTCCGAGGGGCGGACATAGGCGAAGTGACTCGACCTCCTCGCCTGCGTGCGAGCGTGCAGGGCACGAAGCTCCTGTGTGCAGCCCCAGAGTCGGCACGAACGAGATGGGTACGGAAAGAATGGGTACAATGCCCAACAGCAGTTCCTGTTCATTTTGGACAGGTGTCGCCGCGGCCTGTAACCATTTGAGACAGAAGGCCGCCTGCCCAACAGTGGCCGCTGTTGGTTTGGGACAACATTTGCTGTTGAGCATTGTACCCATTCTTTCCGTGCCCACTTCGGGCGTCCAAACAGAGGTGAGCACGAATAGAGTGAGATCCCGAGTAGCCTCCCCAGACGTTCGACGGCTGGACTTTTCTGGTCGCCGGCCCCTAATCCCTCGGCCCCCTCCCCAGGACCAGCCTGCCGCCATGGTCCTGGGGCCCGGAAGAGGCCCCCAAGAGCCGAAAGTGACGAGCAGCGTAGCCAACGTGAACCCTAATCGGGTTTTTCTAGCAATCGGGTTCCAAGAGGGCCCCAAGAGAGCCCCATGGCGGCCCAAGTTGGCCCCAAGACACCATCCGAAGCATTCCAGATCGTGACCCGGTCGTTCCGGGAGACCGCGGTTGGAGGCAGGGTGGCCCGAGGAAGCCCCCAGAGGCCTCCAGAACACGCCCAGAAGGTCTCTAGAAGGCTTTAAGAAAGCCTGACAAACTTTTGTGAGGCCCCCTGAGGCTCTCCAAGGAGGACCCTCCGCAAAAAGAGCTGAGGAGGATGGGGGGAAAGCACAGGGTACGGTGAGAATGAGGAAAAACAAGCATGGAGGAAGGATAACGAATAACATTATCCCCTGAACGACCGGGTCACGATTTGGAATGCTTCGGAGGGTGTCTTGGGGCCATCTTGGGCCGCCATGGGGCTCTCTTAGGGCTATCTTGGACCCCTGTTGTGCCGTTTCGGGGCTCTCTTGGACTGCCTGGAAGCCCTTTCGGATGGTTGTGGCGGCTTCGGACGCCCAGAAGACCGCCGTCTTGGAGCGTCGGGAAGCCGAGAAGAGGAGAACCCCAAAATTCACCAAAAACCCCAGAAAGTCAATGATTTGTGCGTCTTGGGGCTTTCTTGGGAGTGCTCTTGGAGGCCTCTTGGGACGTGGTGGAGAGATCTTTGGGGGGTATGATGGCTTCTTGGAGGTCGTCGTGGCCGTATTGGGGCTCTCTGGGGTCGTTTCGGAAGCGCGCCGGAACGCCTGGAAGCCGTCTGGGGCCGTCTTCGGGCTCTCGTGAGGTTCTCCCGGGTCGTCTGAAGGGTTGCCTGGAGGCCCGGGGAGGGCCAAATTCGCCAGGGGGGGAAGCTTTTTCTGGCGTCCCCGGCCGTATAACAATTTATTATTTGGAATAGGTTATGCAATGTATGTGGATCAATAAATGTATGTGGTGAAATCTATATGATGCAACCTCTGTGATGCAGTCTATGTGGTGCAACCTATGTGATGCGATCAATGCTGTGCCATATATGTTGGGCAATATATGTCCTGCGACCTACGATTCGCAATATACGTTATGCACAATCTGTTGGGCACCCTACGTGGAGCAATCAATGTGGTGCAATCTATGCGGTGCAATATCGGCTGTGCAAACTATGTGGTGAAATCTATGTGGTGCGATCCATGTTGTGCCATATGTGTGAGGCATTCTATGTGGTACGATCTATGTTGTGCAATTGACTACCCTGCACCGCGCCTGACCACCTCCACTGCTCGCGAAGGACGATCAGGGGAGGAGGTGAGTGAGCTTCGCGGGTGGGACGTGGGAGGGAAGAACACAAGAACCCCACGAAACATGTGGGGAACATTCCAAAGTTAAAAAACGGCCCGTAGGGCCATCTTGGGGCAGTATATGGGGCAGTACTGGAATCCTCCTGGGTGCCTTCGGGGCCTTCGATGGGGCCATCTTGGAGGACATAGAGAAAACAAAAGAGGATGTTCTCATTTGGGCTGTCGGAGCTCGAAACATCCCATCTGGTGGACTTCCTGGGGCGCTCTTGGAACGATATCGGAGGTCTCCGCGGCCCTCTTTGGAGCCCTTCTGGACCCCTCTTGGAGCTATGTTGGACGATATTGGAGCGATCTTGGGGCCTCAGAAGCCCATCGGAATCGAAAAGGCGAGAAGGCAAACATCATTGAACACATTGCTTGCAGGATGCTGGCGCCTCTCGGGAGTATCCTTGGGAGGCTCCGTGGCCACCTCGGGCTGTCTTGTGGCGGTCGTGGGCCTCCAGTAAGCATGTTGCAGGCCATGTTGGCCCAGTTTGGTCTACTTCGCCATCTGGGAGGCCATCGTGGCAGACCTCGAGGCCTTCATGGGCCATCTTGGGCGCTCGGCCCGCTCGTGCCCCCGACCCGCCGCCCAGACCCCAGGGGAACGGGCAGGAGGAGGGGGAAAACTCTTACCCGAAGTGGAAGACAGGGGTTAGAGTCTGCGATTCCCTGGGCCACACCTGCGCCCAGAGAGCTGGAATTCAGCGGTCCCGTCAACACAGCCGTCCCCACTCGCCTCAGGTCCATGCCATCTCGCCCGGCAAGAGTGCCGCAGCGACTTGTCGCGTGACAGCTTGATTTGCATCGGCGTGCAGACGCTCTGCTTTGTTGGTTCGATATGTGCTGTTCTCGTTTTCTCCTGCACTTCTAAGCGGATGCCGCAGAGCTAGTCTTGCTGAAACATTCTCGACTGAGGTGAAACCAGCTCGGTGTGCTTCAGTCGTTGTTGATTCCCCCTGTTCTGCAGCAAGTTCGGGTCGACTCGTCCATCTAGGCCTGGTCCAGTAATCCTGGGCCTCCGTCCGGGTCGCGGAGACTACCGCGATCCGCGCGCCCGGATCTTAACCACAGAACCAAGTGAAAGCACGCACCGTGCCTCGATCGGCGCAACATGCGAGGTCAGGTGACTCAGGTCTCGGGCTGCGGCTCAGGCCACACGACCCAAGGCGGGGCATCTGCCTTGCCATCATGAAGCCCGCGTCGAGCTCCAGCTGACTGGAGGCGCCCCCTCAGAAGAGGAAAAGATACCGAGATTGCTACCGTTCGCTCGTCGCGACGGCTGGATTTGCCTCCAAATTCTGTCCCGAGCGCACCCCTAGAGAGGTCCAGGAAGTAGCAGCATCGGTACGTTTTTGCCCCCCCCCCCCCCCCCCCCCTCCCAACCCCTTCCCTCCCCCGGGCCGCCAACGTTAGCAACAAAGTAAAGAGTCAATCACGCTGCAGGCATTCAGCTTCCGCGCTGCAGCGTGCTGGAGCGGGGCGATCGACTCGCGGTTGCGCCCTGTCCTGTGTACCCCCCTTCTTCTTCATGCGAACGCCACAAACACACCAGAAGGCAACGCTCACCCTGCTTACCAGACGTCCCTTCGAGCGACGCCTAAAACGGGTGATGATGATGCTGCTGATGCTGATGACGGTGGTGATGGTGATGATGATGATGACGATGACGATGACGATGACGATGACGATGACGATGACGATGATGATGATGATGATGATGATGATGATGATGATGATGATGATGATGATGATGACGATGACGATGACGATGACGATGACGATGATGGCAATGATGATGACGACGATGACAACGATGACGACGGCGACGACGACAATGACGATGATGATGGTGGTTGGTGTAGGTGATGAATGGTTATGATGGTCACGGTAATTGTGATGGTGGTGATGATGATAGTGGTTGCGATAAAGGTGTTTATGATGATTGTGATTATTTTGATGATGATGGTCATGATTGTGACGATGTTGGCTGTGACGGTGATTGTGGTGATGATGATGACGCTGATGGAGATGGTAATCATAATAATAATGTTGATGCTGATGATGGTGATGATGATGTCGATGATGATGGTAATGATGATGGTGATGATGATGACGATGATGATGACGATGAGGAGGATGAGGACGACAATGATGAGACAAAGGAGGGTGATGTCATGAGCGGTGTTAGCGTGTTTGTTGGTTTCGTTGTTATTCGAAAGTTGCGTATGTGCATCTATCTAGCACAGTTTCCAACAAGGACGCGTTCAACGCCATTCTGGAGCCCCGTTCTTTCTTCAACAGCGATTCAAGATGAATTAAGGGTGAGGATGAGAAGCACGACCACTTCTTCCATACATGCGAAACCTAGACCGGGCCCCGTGAGGCTTCCACATGCGGCAATGTGAGCCAGAAGTCCTGTCCAATTGAGTTGAAACATGGACGCGGAGCACGCCGCAGTCTACCATCTTTTCGTGGCAGACGCCGACCTGATTGTTGCAAGAACTGCCTTTGAAAGGGAGCACTGGCTAGCAGCTGTCTGCGACTCTTCTTGCTTCGACTCTTGCTTTGCGAAGTACTGCTGGTAAGGGTTGGCATCAACAGAACCGGCATCATATTCGAGTACAGGGCAGTCTTTGAAGACACAGAGGATCCATCGTTCAACGCATACAAGCGTAATCCCGCCAGAGGAGGCGAGAGAAGGAGGAGAAGAGGGAAGGAGGAGGACGAGGAGGAGAAAAAGAGGAGGAGGAGGAGGAAGAGGAGGATGAGGAAGAGGAGGAGGAGGAGGAGGAGGAGGAGGAGGAGGAGAGGGAAGGAGGAGGAGGAGGAGAAAAAGAGGAGGAGGATGAGAAGGAACAGCAAGAAACACAATAATAAGTAGAGGCAGAAGAGCGGGGCTCGGCAGGAGCATCTCGGTGGGCAGCAGCCGTGCAAGCAGCTCTGGCTTCGGCTCGGACGCGGCCTGCAAGAAGGCGACCTCGCGCTGCACTTTGGTCTTCCGTCCGATCTACCAGCGCACTTGCTCTGACACCCATTCGGGCTACCTGGCTTCTACTCTCGTTGCCACTCGGCTCAAGAGGCTCATTAGGACTGTGCCCGGGAGTGTTCAATCAGCACTGGCCAGGACATTCAGAATAGGTGCCGCGGAGGCCAGGACGCTACAAACCAAGACTCTGCAAAGCCCACTTGGGCAAACGGAAAGCGGAGGACGTCTCGACCCGCGGCTGCAAATCTCGCGGGGGCGCCAAAATCACGGCTTATCAGGGTCCTTGTGCGCACGGCCATGATACAGGGCACACCCAAGGCGCTGAAATTACGACCACTTCTGGCTCAGGAGGGGCTCAGGAGGAGGAGGAGGAGGAGGAGGAGGCGGCGGAGGAGCAGGAGCAGGAGGAGGAGGAGGAGGAGGAGGGGGAGGAGGAGGAGGAGGAGGAGGAGGAGGAGGAGGAGGAGGAGGAGGAAGAGGAGGACCACTTCTGGCTCAGGAGGGGCTCGGACTTCCGGGCCCTTCCTCTGATCTGGGTCGGGGAAGCGATTCGCGGCCGAGGATCGCCGTGGCCAGAGGAGCCCTTGCGGTCCTCACTCGGCGCTCCCCCCCCCCCCGACAGACCACAGGCCACCAACAGCCTGACCTCTGTGATGTGCAGGGGGGAGGGCGTCGAGTTAACTCGAGCCTGTCCCTCGACAGGAGGAATATCCCCAAACGGTCAAAACATAGTCCGGGGACGATTTTTTTTGACCATTTTTGCGTATTTGGGAGCATATTTTGTTGACTAGTTTGCCTTCCTCGTCCAAGAGCGCCCTGCAGTGTCCGCCGCGCTGGCGGCGCACTCACCGCATTGCCCCCTTGCGAGGGCGACGTGCAAGTTCGAGAGGACGGCTGGCCTTTTCGGCGGCCGACGCACGGGCGGCACGCGGGCGACGAGTGCGCGACGCACCTCTTGTCGCGAGGGGGGGGGGTCAGCACGCCGGTTGTCTTACAGTCGGGGCCTTCAAAAGGGAACCCTTTTCGTGGGGGAGGGGCTCGATGTTCCTTGGTTGCTCTGCAGTTTGCCCCCTGTTTTCCTGAGGTTCTCCATGGGACATCGAAGTTTTACCCGTGGAATCTGGACGCCCGAAATGGGTACTGAAAGAATGGGCACTATGCCCACCAGCGGATCTTGATCATTTTGAACAGGATTCGCTGTCCACGCCGCCGCGGCCTGTGTCCATTCGAGACAGAAGGTCGCCCGCCCAACAGCGGCCGCTGTTGGTTGGGGAAAACATTTGTTGTTGGGCATGGTACCCATTCTTTCGGTACCCATTTCGGGCGTCCAAATGGAAGACGGGGCCTCGTTCTTTCTCCAGGGTTGGGTTCCTCAGGCCAACGCCCCAACTGTACTGGGCCTTCGCAGGCCCGACCGCAGCCTGGAGGGGCCCGACGGGGCCACGGCCCGCGCGAGGCCCCCCCCCCCCCCCCGCGCGTGCGGCGGGCGCCCGGCTCCACGCGGCGAGCGGGGGACAAAGAGGAAGAGGGGGAGGAGGAGGGAGGAGGAGGAGGAGGGAGGAGGAGGGAGGAGGAGAGGAGGAGGAGGAGGAGAGGAGGAGGGGAGGAGGAGGAGGAGGAGGCGGAGGAGGAGGAGGAGGAGGAGGAGGACGACGACCAGCCCTGCTCGGGGGGTGGCCCGCAGCCCGGGCGGCCGCGGCCTGCTCGCAGCGGGCGGCGTCGCCCGGCGTCGGGTTCCGGGGCTGCGGTGGACGATCGATTCGAGGGCGGCAGAGAGGGGGGTGATGACTACAGTTCTGGACGCCCGAAATGGGTATTGAAAGAATGGGTACAATGCCCAACAACAGTTCCTGTTCATTTTGAACAGGACTCGCTGTCCGCGCCGCCGCGGCCTGTGTCCATTCGAGACAGAAGGTCGCCTGCCCAACAGCGCCCGCTGTTGGTCTGGGACAACAGTGGTAGTTGGGCATTGTGCCCATTCTTTCGGTACCCATTTCGGGTGTCCAAAACAGTGCCGTTTTTAATACATGCTCCGCGTGCGGATCATGTACAGAAAAATGCAGGGATTTAGTACTAAAAACAAAGATGCGTTCATGCATACATTTGTTCATAAACTACAAATCATGGATTAAAGCTCCTCTGTTCTTAAAACATCCGATGTGTAAAGAGCTGCCTTGTATGGGGAGGGGGATATCATGGCGGGGGCCACGATGTCTCCCCGGATCTCATGGCGCCTCTGCTTATCTCATTGCGTCCCTGGCCCCCCGCCGGGCCGCGCACATGCCGCCGGTCACGATGCCGCAGGCAGTGGCCCCGTCGGCCCTCGGAAGGGTCCCTTGTTCTCCTCGCGTGTCCTGTCCAAGGGGGGCCGGCTGCACTGCCGCAGCAAGACGGGCTCCGCTCGCGAGCTGCCCCCGGGGCTGTGCTTTTGTTGCGTCGCCGCGTCGCGGCTCGGGGCCGCAACCGGGTCGGAGGCCGTGCCCGTGGCCGAGGCTCGCCGTGGCCAGGGAGGCCCCCGTCGTTCTTGCGGAGGACGATCCATGGAGGCGGAGCGCGTTGCCAAATCGTTTTCCAGATGTCTGAAGCATGTGTCGAACATGCCTCTATTATCGGGGGTGGGCAGAACCCCCAACAGTGACACGTCGATCAGTGAATTGTCCGTTTTCGGTTTTCGAGAGGGCGCCGTGGCCGTTACTTTCCAGGCTTGCGCCCGCCAGGTTTGGGCCTCAGGTCGTTTTCATTAAACCACGTTTCGCTAAAGGGGGGTCTGTCCATTCCCGATTTTCAGCATGCAAGGCACCTGTCTGAAGCACGTCTGGAACATGTTTCCAGCATGTTAGACACACCCGAAAGTCAACGATCGGACTGTTAGGGTGTCCATTGCCGTGGCACCCACAGCTCCAGGGCCAGCACGGATCGATCCGGCTCGAGAGATGCCGCAGGAAGATAGGGCCTGGGGCTCTGGTCGTGCTTCTGCGCGGTGCTGCGCTCTGCTCGCAGCGCCGGGTCTCAGGGGAGTTGTGGTCTTTACCTCCCCTGGGTCCTTCTCCTCCTCCTCTTCCTCCTCCTCCTCCTCCTCCTCCTCCTCCCTCCTCCTCCTCCTCCTCCTCCTCCTCCTCCTCCTCCTCCTCCTCCTCCTCCTCCTCCTCCTCCTCCCTCCTCCTCTCTCCTCCTCCTCCTCCTCCTCCTCCTCCTCCTCCTCCTCCTCCTCCTCCTCCTCCTCCTCCTCCCTCCTCCCTGCACAGCACCCCTGGGTGTGGTCGGGATGCCGGGAGGCACGGTGGACCGCGCGCCACGCACCGCCGCTGTCGGCTTCGAGAGGCCCTCATCACCAGCCCGCCGAGGCATGTTGCAGGCCGTGGGCCGAGGTGCACCGGCTCCGTGGTCGGGCCTGGCCTCCCCCGCAGAGGACCGGCACCAGACCCAACTCAGGAGGGGAGAAAACACACAGGCACAGTTCATCGTCGATTCCCCAGAAAATAGGGGAACATATTGGAAGTGGGGGGGACGACAAGAACCCAGAAAATATGGGGAAATGTGGGGAATCCTGGTATTTGTGTGTATCTATCTGTGTGTCCAAGCAAGAAGAGCGAACGGCCGAAGAGCCAACCATTCCGCCTTCGAAATTCTGGCAGCCCTGCCGGCAGGTGAGCACATGGGAGGACGGAAGCAGACCGCGGGGCACCGATCTGTGTTTGCCGGAAGCTGCGGCGGACCAAGGGCGATTGATTCTGTGGGTCGGGTGTTGCTAAAAGTGCCCCTGGCCCAAGGTGCCCCCAGGATTTCCAACGGCCTCGAGAGCACCCCTTACGAGGCCTAGAGGGCCACAGGGGCTCCAAAATTGAACGAAAAGCTGCGGGCACCTTGGGCCAGGGGCTCCTTTAGCAACCCCCGAGTGGGAGGGAGGGCCAGAAAGCACGACGGGCCGCGGACAGCGTTTGTTTGTGGTTGGCCGAACCCCCTCGGTAGCGGAGCCACGAGAGGGAGGGCCACGGGAGGGCAGGATAATTACGAAGCCCGCGCGGTCACGCTTCAAGAGCCGAGTTCTCGAGAGGGGGGTCTCGGGCAGAAGGAGGAGGCCCGCGAGGCAGGGGGCCACAGAGCGCGACGGGTCTTAGGCAGCGGGCTGCTCATCCCGATCTTTTGCGAGCCGGGTCTGCGGGGCAGGATGGCGGCGCCCATTCCAGGGGGTGGCGCGAGGTGTGCGTGCGTGTGTGTGTGTGTGTGTGTGTGTGTGTGTGTGTGTGTGTGTGTGTGTGTGTGTGTGTGTGTGTGTGTGTGTGTGTGTGTGTGTGTGTGTGTGTGTGTGTGTGTGTGTGTGCGTGCGTGCGTGCGTGCGTGCGTGCGTGCGGGTGGGTGCGTGCGTGCGTGCGTGCGTGCGTGCGTGCGTGCGTGCGTGCGTGTGTGTGTGTGTGTGTGTGTGTGTGTGTGTGTGTCTGTGTGTCTGTGTGTCTGTGTGTGTTACCCCTCGTTCTTGGCGCGTGTTTGTTTTTGATGGTAACCACATCTGGGTTTTGGGGGGTCGTGGGTCCTTCTTGGACCTTCCCGTCTCCGCCCTTCCTCTTCCCCACCTGTTCCTGCTGTTGCCGCCTCCGCCGTCCGCAGCATTCTTTCCGATCTAAGCTGAGACGGAAGGCGGGCTTCCCGACGTCGTCGTCGCAGTCGTCGTCGCCGTCGTGATGTGCGAGTGCAAACGGTATGACGGTTTGATTTTTCATGTTGATCCCCCTTCTCGGGGCGTCCTCGTGAGTCACGGGTCGACGCAGGCTCGAACAGCGGTCGAAAACTTGGCCGCTTCCAGAGGCGAGCCAGGGCCCTTGGGAGGAAATCGGAGGTGTTTGGCCACGAGGTCAATCAATTCCTTTCCATCTGTTACCAGCCGAAGCAATGAGTCACCGCCAGACCTGCGAAGCGGTGCCCGCTAGCGCACTGCACCGGTACGTGCACAGCTTGTCGGCACGAACATTCCGGACTCGCTACTACCGAATCTCGACGCCATGACTTCGGCCACCTCGTTCGAGGTCGAAGGGGCCGTGGGCGGCCACGCTTTGCCGCGCGAGCGGCCAGGTGTCGCCGCCACGGCTGGGACGGATCGAACAACTGGCGGTGGCACTGCTGCTCCTATATCACCACCCACCAAACCACCCCAACCCAACCCGAAGGCCCCAATTTACCCTCGATTTCCAGTGGGGGGGGGGGTCGGGAAACATCGACAAAACACATGGAACCCGTACCCCCCCCAACCCGAAATTCGGGTCAAATTCGGGTCTTCTGGTTGGGTTGGGGTGGTCTGGTAGGTAGTCATACCCTTACATAACGAGCTAGAGCGCGCAACAGAGGCATTCCTCACGACCGCCTTCAGGATGACAGACTTCTGTCCAGTGAGCGTCGAGTCGGCGCACGCAACGCCAGTGAGCCTCGAGCCGACGCGGTCCATGAAGATATGCATCGAGTCGACGCGGACCGAACTGATGAGGGTCGAGTCGGCGCATGCTATAATGAACATGAAGTCGGCGCATGCAACGCCGATGAGCGTCGAGTCGACGCAGTGCATACTGATGAGCGTCGAGACGACGCGGACCACATTGATGAGCGTCGAGTCCGTGTATGCCATATCGATGAACGTCGAATCGGCGAGCTCCGTACTGATGAGCGTCGAGTCGACGCGCGCGAAGCAAATGAGCGTTGAGTCGACGCGAACCATCAACCGGACGAGCGTCGAGTCGACGCGCCTGTGTTGCCAAGCGGCTTGGCGAATGCGCAGACTGCGCGACGGGAGCAAATCATGCAACAACAAATAGATCTTCAAGAGCAAATGGGAGATACCCCCCAAGTTCTTCGCGGTAAGTTCTTATCGTGCGCGAGAGCAAACAATGAGCCGGGCGACCAGCAATCGCGAGCCTTTGCAGAAGAAGCTCGGATGATGGCCAATTTGGCCAGTCAACCGCAAACAGTCCGTCCATTCATCGACGCCGAAGCCCGCAGTGCTGTCGAAGTCCTCGTGGCCCAGAGTGCTGGGGGCCACGGGCGTGAGCAGCAACAGAGACAGTATAACAATGCCTATGTGTATGGACAGCTTACGGTACTGGGACGACGATTCAACCTGGTTGAAGCCGAGCAGGAGCAATCATCTCATTCATGAGAAGCGTGGTAACATGTTTTGTGAAATCCAAACAAAAGATGGAGCCCTGCGAGTGCACCAGCGCGCTAGAAACAATTCGCTGGAGCAGGTCAGAAGTCGGTTGGCGGGAATCGCAGACGCCGCGAATGGTACCGTGAACCTCGCTGCTCTTCAAGAGCAGCCACATCCCGCGGATGGCCAGCCCCCTGCGAGGAAATGCGTGATCTCCATGCGCGACGATGCGCGACATGGTGCCAGTGGACCTTCAGAAGCAGGCCAGGGGCGCGCGCGACAGCGGCGCGGAAGCCCGGTGCCGCGCGCGGGGCGGGCCGGCGCACTGCGCTGGAGCAATCTGACGCTAACCGTGCTAAGGATAACAAGTGCCGAAGGCAAAGTCAGCAGGGCCACGGCGGTTGCACCGCGCCCGCGCCTGAGTGTCCGGGCCAGCACGAGCGCACCGCTCGTAGAACGGCCCAGGAGGCCCGATCACCTATCCAGGATGAACCACAGAAGCGCTCGCCATCTCGCCCTGGGGGGATGCGCCGCGCGGCGCGGGCGGCGGGCCATCCAGTCGTGAGCAGCAGAGCGCCGCAGAAGAGGCGGCCCGATGCGGCTGGGCAAGACGAGGTGCAAAGAGGCCTAACAAATGGAATGCCGAGGCCTGCCTGCTGCGCCGTGCTTCCGACAGCGGGAGCAGGGAGCGCATGGGGCGACGAGCTCTTCCTCGGGCAGACCAGATGAATGCTTCGTTTGGATCCGCGCGATTGAACGCACTGCAACGACGCGAGCCCCTTGCGGACAGTGGCGAGTTCGAGACGCTCGATGTGGAAGTAGCCGCAGCACGCAGCAACATCCACAGAAAATGATGACCTCAGGAGGAGAGTCAATACGCGGAAGGAAGAAACCAACAACAACGGTCGGCTCGTCAGGGGACGACAGGTCCTCCTGCATCTTTGACTTCGCCCGCGTCAATGCTGACATAATGAAACACCGCAGTCTCAGCAGTTCATTAGACATTGGGATTGCGCCTTCCTGGGAACGAACGCCCAACTTGAGTCGCCCGTCCGCCGCAGTCCCTGCCTGAGTGAAAGCCCCACCTGAAGACCCTTCCTGCAGAACGTATAGAGAACACCTGTGTGGCCTCGATCGCGATATGGAGGCATTCTGCAGGATTGACAGAGGCGATTCAAACAACAGGTACGAACGGCTTTGCGACGATGCTGCGACGAGGTCGGCTTAGCAGGCGAGTGCCCCAAACCGCAGCGCGAGGAAAAGCGCGGGCCAATGTGCTGACATTCTGGTCCTGGCGGCGAAGGATTTAATAGTCCGCCGCAGCCCCCCAACGGGGGGGAAGTGCACCGCGGGGGGCACTTCCTCGCGCGGGTCGTGCAAGCCCCCTGTAGATTACAGAGGTGGGACACCGCCACCGAAGCGGGCTCGCGGTCACGAGCGGTCGGCTTCTAGAGACTTCGTGCGAGGACGCTCGAGCAGTCCCTTCCGGGGGGAACGGAGGGGCGCGGAACGCGAGCGGGGGGGAAGCAAGCCGCGCGCGCTCCTGCGACGTGGGAACTCGACGCCAAGCACCTCTCGAGGTTGCTTATTCATGCGATGGGGGAACCTGGCGCTAAGCATTCAGCCAGGTCGCTTCCCCGCGCACCGGGGAAACCCGACGCCGAGCGCCCGCCGAGGTCCTTCTCCACTGCACCGAGGAAACGCGACGCCAAGCGCTCGCCGAAGGTTGACTCCGAGGCGCTGGGGGGACCCAGCGCTAGGGTTATTGTTATTGCCTTCGGGATACCCAGCCGCCGTGTCAATTCAGTTCGCCGTGGCGCGCCGCGATGTTTGTGCCGCGCTGCACCCGTGGCGACACCCAGTGTTGTGCCGAAGCGGGTGGTCGGGACGCATGCGAATTGCGCCAGCGGCGCCTTAGGTGGAGCTCCCTATAGGACCACGATCTTCCTGAGGGATGTGCCACAATTGTGGCATGCGGAGAGCAGGGGCAGGGATGGGAGGAGGGAGGAGGAGGTGGAGGAGGAGGCGGGAGGAAGGAGGCGGGAGGAGAACGCGGGGCGCTGTCTCTTCAAAACGAGGACTCAACACCACAGGATGGTTGGGGAAAAGTCATCATCACCTGCTACTGCGTCTCTGCGGGGTCTTGCCCACTCGCAAATCCTCATAACAGTGGAGGGCTCGATTGTCATTGCGGGCCCGCCGATTCCCATAATTCTCCCCAAACTATTGGGATTCTCGAGCTTCGCAGCGGGCACACATCCACCCATGCACCCCTCATCAATGGTAAGCTCGATCGTCACCGGGGGTACCCGCGTGGCCTTTCAAACTCAAGAGGAAAATCTGTCGGCCTGCGGAAGTCTTTGTTGCCGCCGTCGCTCCCGCGACCACCAGCGACCCACCCGCGACCCGTCCCGCGACCCACCCCGCGAGCCCCCTGCGACTCGCCAGTGGCCCACCCATGACGGGGAGGAGGAGACGAAGGAGCTGGAGCAATCGGACGTTGTCCGTCGAGAAAAGGGCGGGGGCCTGGGGAGGGCCATCAAAATTTTGCCAGCCGTGCCGAGGGGGGCGACAACCCTCGCACGCTGCGACAGGCCCTCCCCAGGACAATTTACTCTTCAACAGTGCTTGCACTGCGCCACGCGGCGCCGCCAGGAACAGCCCCAGGGGAAGCGCGGTTATCATCGCGCCACGCGCGGCCCAACGGCCCAGGGGTCCACGGGAAACTACGCCCGCGAGCGCGCCGAGAGCTCGCAGCAGGCCCAGCCTCAGCGCGCGCGGAAGGCGAGCTTCGCGGCGCGCAGGGCGGCGTCGTCGTCGTCGGAGTCGCACTCCCAAGGCGGCCTCTTCAGGGCCAGCTCGTTGCCGTCGCTCGAGGCCGACACGGCTTCCTCCTGCTCCTCGGTGGCGTTGCAGTGTGGGTCGCACTTGATGTACTTCTTCATCAGCTCGCCCGTGCTTTCGGAGTCGCCGAGGGCGTACCTGTCGTTGGCGTGGACCTCCGTCTTCATCAGGATGGGGTTGTCGATGCCCTCCTGCACCACGTCCCCGATCTTCTGCTTGTCG